AATTATGTATAAAATCTTCAATTCAGTGACATTTCTTGAAGTGTTTGGTCTTCAGACACAAACAAAGAGACGTGTTGCACAACAAGAAAGTAGGTAGATAATTTGATACCATTCTTGTGGCAAAGCCATTTTTATTCATTTTCTTTGAATAAGGAAAAACTATTTTCGCACAGAACATATCGCTAAAACATGAATGGATGTCATCGTGACAAAAAAAGCAAAAAACAAAACAAAAAAAACACAAAAAAAAAACACCCTCCAAAAAAAAAAACAAGACCAAAAAACAATAACACAAGGAAAAACAGAAAACAGTAGGATAAAGAAAGAGAAAAGTTTAATGAAAAGCAAGCGTCTTATTTTGAAGGGATTTAGAGATCGAGGAATTCAGTCGAAATGACATCAGAAAACAATGGTTATTTTTTTTTTCAGATATAAAACATAACTTTATCCGCCATTAGACGAAAATAAATAAAGAGATAAGATCTAAAGTTTCCACACACACACACACACACACACACACACACACACACACACACACACACACACACACACACACACACACACACGCGCAGACGCTCGCGCGCAAAAAGAAAACATGGATTTAGCAAAACAAAGTGTTAACATATGAAATACGCATAAAGCTGAAAACAATAGTTTGTTTTCTAGAAAAAAGCCTGACAGCAAACTCGGATCTCTAGTATTTTTCTCTTGTATTTTTTTTATATAGTAATTCTATAATGTACAAGAATTCGCTGTAGGTTAACGTCCTGGTGTCACAAGCCATTGATTACCTATTTATTTATCACGCTGCTCTATGAATGTCGCTGTGTGTTGAAGTTGGTTAATTGGCTCCAACAGATATCTCTTACAAAACAAAGACAAAAACTTATTACAAAAAGATAGTTTAAAGAGGAGGAGGAGGAGGGTGTTTTCTTGAAATACATTAGTAAATGACATCTTCTTTATTAATTCTTTATGAGAATATTTTCACACTCAAAAGACTCTTCCCGGTTCTGAGTTCAAGAGTGTCTATGCGGCCTGGTGAGTGATGAGTTATTTTCCACTCTACAACACTTTTCCGCAAGGACGAAAGCCTTACACTACTCTGTCCCTATTTCAATGGCAAATGTTCCACC